GTTCTAAAAACGCCTTTGATCGCCATCGCCTAAAATATAAAATTTATTTATTTACCTACTAACAGCCAATTAACCACTAGGTGTAATTATTGTGCTTTACAGTAAAGTAAACCCCCTAGGTCTTCCTGCGGATATATTTGGTTCAATTTATATAAGGAAGATAGGTAGAGCTTTTGAAACATCCTTTTTACGAATAAATCCTGACAGTATATCCATATGTGGCATAGTGATATGGGTACATTTTATCAATAATGTATTTATACGAAACAAATTGCTATCAAGTAATGATTAGCCAAATCATCTTCTAAATGCTTGAACGAAATCAGCTAGAACAACTGAAGTAGGAAGTTTGTTCCATTTTCCTGTCAACCGACGGAAAAATATTTCGCTTGCACCCTAATTTAGGCTTAGATTTATTTTAAATTGCATTCGTTATTCCCGAGATTTACCCAGCTACGTTCAGGTCTACTCTTTCGAGTCCTCATAAGCCTTAACATGACAAGAATAGTTTCATCTTTGGGAAATCCTATGAAGGCAAGCTACATTCTGGGAGTATTTCTGTATAGTGGTCTTCCAAATTGCGTTTTAATTAACTGGCGCTTAACGGCGCGCGTCACTGATACTCACGCCCCGCTCGAAGCATGTACGTACATAAGAGACTTGTGCCTTGGTCTTGTGTATCTGAGTATGAGAAAGTTGCCAACAGCCTTAAATCAACTGATTTATTAGTTTTAAAAGAGGCAGTTATGATTATGAGAATTTGGTTATGTCGTGTTAATGTTTCAAAAATCCCACGGTCTATTTTATGTACATACGAACTAATGGTTGCCAGGCTCGAGCAGTCCACACCGGCATTGGCTTTAGCAATCATGCGTTTTATTAGTCTTGCGTCCAGTGAGGACCAGGACCGCCTGCGGAGCCCGCAGGCAATCCCAGTCTCCTCACTAGCCAGGAAAGCTGGTCTGCCAGATTGGATGTCCGACCTTCGTAACGACATAGCTCATGGACATTTACCAACTCGTGCGTTTCTGAACGAGACTTATTCAGTGTGTATGGATTGGCTCGAGGAGTTTTGGCAATGTAACCTTCCTGGAGCTGAGATGGATTCCCTGGACAATACTCAAAATGCGATCGATTGGGAACATTACCCACCCGATAGGCTTATAGAAGACCTCGATTCTCCCCTCCAGGCCCGGATGGTAGAGCATTCTTTTGGTGCTTATGCGTCTAGTCTTGCCAAAAGCGGCTGCATAGAGCCAAAGAAACTGCATAGCCTGAAGAAGTCGCTCCGAATTTTTAAGCACAAGAACAGGATATGCGATGTGGCCTTGAATGCGTTCTTTCGCGTTACGGGGTCTGACGACGGCGCTTTTCAGTGGGCGGAGCTTTGGTTAGCCGCCTTTCTGGCCGTCCGTGACGGTAAAGATTCTGCGCTTTCGGAGTTCATACG